GATCTCGGCTCACTGCAACCTCCGCCTCCTGGGTTCAGGCAATTCTCCTAATTCTCCTGCCTCAGCCTCCTCAGCTGGGATTACAGGCACGCACCACCATGCCCAGCTAATGTTTTGTATTTTTAGTAGAGACGGGGTTTCACCATGTTGACCAGGATGGTCTCGATCTCTTGACCTCGTGATCCACCCGCCTCGGCCTCCCAAAGTGCTGGGATTATAGGCTTGAGCCACCGCGCCCGTCCACACCTCTCTTAATGAGTACAGCTTTACGGACACAAGGCAGTCTGGATCATAACAGGCCACTAATTAGGCTGTACAGTCAAATGTAACAGGTTCTTGGGAGCCAGTCAGCCTTACTGAGCACTGCTAGTGGTCCCTCTACAGCATACTCTGAAACAGCAGTACCAGAAGGTACTTGAGGGGGGGAAGGCAGAGGTGAGTGTGTAAGGGCCACCATCAAAAATGATCCAGGCCTCTTGGACTGAATCCTAATAATTCATTCAGTCATTTAGTAAATGTCTGAATTCCTACTATATATCAGGCCCTGTTCTGAGAGCTAGGAATACAGTAAACAGTAGACTTCATCCCTGCTTCCATGGATCACATGTTGAGAGAGCTTTTATTGTAATTGGGTCCATGGATAAACCGCTTCATTAAATACTAAGAGGAAGCTTAACTAAGTTAGTCTATTATGCAAATAATTTTAAAGATAATCTGAGTTTTGCCTAAGGCAAACATAATTGGGTCTGGGTTAATATTCGTACGCATTTGCATTCCCTGTACACAGTAACTCCTGCCTCCAGGAGGCATTCTAGAAGGTATTCAGCTCTTAGCTGAACTGTATGCTGCTGTGGTTACCTACTTGTTCACAGTGCCTTTGACGTTCTTCCAGTAAAAGAGTGATCTCTGTAGCATTTTGTTTTCCTCAGTATTAAGCAGACATTAACTGTCTCTGTTTCCATTGGCAGAGCTTTTATCTCAGTTATCTGGAGTGAGACGTTCTGCAGGAGGACAGCTTAATTCCTCTGGCCCTTCCGCTTCTCAGTTACAACAACTGCAGATGCAGCTGCAGCTAGAACGGCAGCATGCCCAGGCAGCACGGCAACAACTGGAGACCGCACGCAACGCAACCCGGCGTACTAACACAAGCAGTGTCACCACTACAATCACACAATCCACAGCAACAACCAACATAGCTAATACAGAAAGCAGTCAGCAGACTCTCCAGAATTCCCAGTTTCTTTTAACAAGGTAGCTCATTTCTTGATAGAATTTTGTTTGGAAAGTAATATTTTATTGCTACTATACAATCTGGAATTATCTTTTCTCTTTTGTGCATATATATTTCTTGAAAATTCTGTGTTTGATTAAAACTCACAGATCTCTGATTAAAACTGCATATTCAATATTTCCCCAAGAATGTGAAACATAATAATTATTTTAGATAAATTAAGAATACTGGGCCAGATGCAGTGGCTCACACCTGTAATCCCAGCACTTTGGGAGACCAAGGCAAGCAGATCGCCTGAGCCCAGGAATTTCAGACCAGCTTGGGCTGCACGGTAAAATCTTATCTCTACAAAAATACAAAAATTAGCCAGATGTGCACGTGAAGTCCCCACTACTCAGGAGGCTGAGGCGGGAGGATCACATGAGCCCTGGAGGCAGAGGTTGCAGTGAGCCAAGACTGCACCATGCACTTCAGCCTGATGTCAACCACTTCAGGGTGACAGAGTGATACCCTGTCTCTAAAATAACTGATCATCTTGTTCTCAAGGTATATATCATCATGTAATGTGAATTGTTTTGCCATAGTACCCATAAATCTTAACACTCTATCATTTTATATATATATATGGTTCATATTAGGTGCATTTATCATAATTAACATTGCTTTTTATTGCCAATTTTAATCTGTTGTGAAATATTAAAAGGTATAAGAAAGATTTCATAATGCAGTGGCAGTTTTCTCCTGTGTACTTCTAAAAAAGCTAGATTTAAATTCCTATGGTTGGCACACAAAATTAACTTTAAAAAAAATGGCTTCCCGCCGGGCGCGGTGGCTCAAGCCTGTAATCCCAGCACTTTGGGAGGCCGAGGCGGGTGGATCACGAGGTCAAGAGATCGAGACCGTCCTGGTCAACATGGTGAAACCCCATCTCTACTAAAAAACTACAAAAAATTAGCTGGGCATGGTGGTGCGTGCCTGTAATCCCAGCTACTCAGGAGG